GCTAGTGTTAGCTATGACTCTTAACTAGTACTGTTTGCACTGGGGAAACTAAGAAGCTGAAAGTCTTCTAGGATGGGAGTAAGACAAAATGTTGACTTCAGGCTAGCAGAGCAGACTTCAGTAGACACGGGATCAGTAAGCAAGATCTTATCTAGATTTGAAGAGAAAAATAAACAACATTAAGAAGAGGAATTCAAGGAAAAATCTTTGAATCAAGATGCATATGATTTTGAAAGCTTCCCCTTTCAAATGTTTAGAAAAATAGCACTGAAGTATTTGCTGAACAGCTATTGTGGAAGTAGTGTCACTGTTGCAGCAGGACCAGCAGAGGGAACACATACGTTGTTTGTTGCAGGATCCATAAAAATGATGTAAATAAATCTTAGAAGTGGTAATGAAATGCATATATTTAAATACTGATGTTTTAGGGGCGGGTGTTCTACTGTTGGCCCTTGCATAACACTTTTGAATGTGATTGAATCTTGGGCTTTGATTTAGTGTGTTTGATCCTTGTCCCTCACTACTTTTACACTTTCTCCCATTGCTGCTTTTGCTTTGCTGCTGTTCTGCTCTGTGCTTGCTGCTGGATGTGTTGGCCTGAATACTTCGTTGGGTGAGAGACTTTATGACAGGCTCTTTAAAGTGGGCTCCTTTTTATCGATAACTTTGGCTGTCTAGGGGATAGCATTACTGCAGTGTTACATAGGCTTTTGTTTTGCTTTGTTTTTTATTGTAAATTGTGTGTTCTGAAGTCTTGCTGTAGTTACCCTGACTTGTTGGAAGAGTTTTGTTTTGGCAATAATCTGGCACTGCAAGATGCTCACTGGTAGTTTGTAGAAGTAAGACATAATGCACTGTGTGATTACAGAGTTGTCCGCATGGTAGTAGTTCATTTTAGTAAATTATCATACACTAAAAGACAAAAAAAAGGAAACATGGCTAATACTGGTGCACAGTTTATTCTATAACACTAGCACAGGAGGAAGAGGTGAGAGAGTTCCAACGAGCATTTTGACTATTGAGATTCTGTTATCGGAAGCAAAAGACAGAAAAACCGCCTTTGTGGTTTTTTCTTTTAGTTGTGGGAATTGTGACTAAATTAAATTATCAACCATGACAGCCCTGTCTGGGGTAAGGCACAGGGGTGGACGCTTTCAAGGCATTGCGGAATTTTAATGTGCGTGGCAGTGAAGCAATTACTCCCGTCACTAGATTGGGCGATCTGATTTAGTGTGTCAGATTCTTTAAATGAACATGATATGCCAAATGAAATAATGGGCACAAATTGAGCTTGCATCCTGCGTTTATTCATCACCTAATAAATTATTTCTTTGGCTAGCTTTCAATTACCAGGAAAATGGAAGCAGCAGATGTCTCGGGCATCAAATATCCCAGCATTAAGCGTTTCATTTGTCTCGCTGTTCAGTAGCTGCACGGAGGCGTAGAAATAGGTTGAAATTTTATGCTAGGGAAAGCTGACTAGAAGACAAGAGTCATTTAGCTTGTCATGAAACATGATGGAACAGACTGACGTGACCCGTGAGACAATTTAAATTATTGGCCTCCTGTCGAAAGGTAGAAGTGACCTGTCAGACCAGTTTGACTGTGATCGATTACTGATAGCGTCAAAGTTGTGAAAACAGTTCTATTCTTTGTGCCTCCTGTTCGTTTTTTTTTTTAATTCTTT